TCATTTCAAATTTAAGGCTAAATAGCTCAGTCATTATTAATCATTATTACCATGACCATATGTCCATATGGATCTCACTTGTCACATGACTTGGCGGGGGAGATACTCACAAGTATTGGCGTCTACGGGATCTATAAGGTGCAAAACCGGTTTAAGTTTAATAATTTCTTGCTGTCATCATCGATAAAAGCGAGCAATAAGCACCGCTAACCAAACGGGGCAACAAGTGGGAACTACAGAAAAATCATTTGAACAGAAAAAGTGGTTGGGTTACAAGAGAAATAGACTTTTGTGGTAATGGGTTAGGTCTTTGACATACAGATACTATACTACTATATATATATCTGTATATATGGCAGTTGCTAGCTACAGATACATGTCATTAAACCAGACGACGGCGGCCTCAACACCGGCACAAGGCAAGAGAAGGTGTCTCTTCTTTCTACCCGATTTCTGGTCGTGTCATGGCACATTTCCACATTTCTCTCGCTTTTCGCCGGCGGGCGCATTATTCATGCCAATTTCTACAAGTTTTTCTCTTTATTTTCTTTTATTTTTCTTTCTATTTTTCTTTCTATTTTTCCTTTTTTTTTGCTGCCCGGTTTTTTGCAATTGTTCTGCGTCTGTTATTTGTTCTCAGTATAAGTAGACAATGTGGATAGATACATGGCTACTACTCGTAGATACTTGTGTCTTTTACTTGTTTCAAACAATGGGTTACATTAACTAGGGAACATGGTATATGGTTCCATTATGGTGGCATTTTAAGGGATGAGTTTGTGAACTAAACATCAAGATAAGGCGCTGAGAGAAAGAAACTATATTTAACCATGTCAAAATAATTAAAACTGAGCTTGAAAACTATATTTAGCTATGGTAATTAAGTTGAAACATTTAAATATAAGCATTTTTGTAAATTTTAAACCAAAAACAAGAGCTTAAAGTTATATAAATCATCCTATACAACATATATATTTATTTATGAAAGATTTCAAAGCCTTATAGCATTAATTTCCTTTTCAAAGTGTCTTAAAATAACTCAGATTAAGTATTTCAAGCGAATAGAATCTTGATATGAAATAAAATAACCCCCAGATATAAGCCATGTATAGAGTGCATTTCGAGTCGAATTCAATATCAAGACTTGTTGCACACTCGTGTGTATGTATTTGACTTGCAACTGCCACCGTCTGTGCATTCCTGGCAAACTGGGCCAACGTCTGCTTATGGCCAAAGCGAGTGAACATGCCCCACTTGGCCCAATGTGCTCTTAGCTCTTGTTTGTTTCATTTCATTATGTTTGATTGCATTTAACGTACAATATGTGCATTCGATACTCCACGATACTCCTCCGATTCTCTCAACGGAGCTGTGCGATGTTGTCATCGTCATCCATATACCATCCAGTCATCCATATAGCCATCCTACGGTCCACATCCTACGCCCGAATCTGCACACATAAAAACCAAAACAAGACATTTCCCACTATTGGTCGAGGTCGTTGCTGTTTCTCTTTTATTTTATTTTTTCGTATTTTTTTTTACTGCCAGACGGGGCCAAACTGGTTAACCGTAAGTTAACCAAAAGTTAAGCCCACGTTTAAGTGCAAGTTGGCCAGAAGTGCACTCGAAGAAATATCAACCTTAAGAGGGTATCGATTGATTAAATCTATATCAAGTATTTCCTTGTTGAATATATAATTTATTATGGTTATTAGAGGGCTTTAATCTTTAAGGGTATATATAAACTTTAAGGGGTTATTAGTAAAAGAAGATGCGTGACGCCTTAGGATTTGTTCTTTTTATTTACATGATCTTTATTACTATTGAATTTTTTCGATTCTCGTTCAACTGTAATAAAAGACATGATTAAAAAGCAGTAGTTGTGTACTTTAATCAATATTAAATCTTTAAATCATAGTGATTGAACAAAATCAAAGCAAACTGATAACCAATAACTCATAAACTAACAGGGAATGGCTTACGAACCATTGTGAAATATAAACCTTTATCATTACTTCTGAGATAAGAGATATTTTGAAGATGTATTAGCATATAACATAAACCATTTTAAACTCTAGTTTTGGACTTCATTTCCTAGACAATCGCTCAATATTTAAAACCATTTATAATATTTACTGTGTGGGCTGTCCCTTTGATAGCCACCTTAATAAACCGATCCACCTTTTTGTGGTTAAACATTTATTGGCATCGTTTTGAAGTTTTTTTTTTGTGACCCAATTTTGGGCAATTTTGTGGTCGATAGAGATCCCCCGCGAAGAAAAGCCAAAAACGCACATGTTGCATATGCGTTGGTTGGCTTTTTCAGTTACCAAATGTATGTGAAACCGGCATATAGATAGATAAATATATATAGACATGTCTAGGCGTATAGAGTATGATTTTTTCTGTTTTTTGGCAAGAGATTGCGAGAGCATAGAGAGCCAAAGAACGAATAGGAAAGAGGAGCGACGTCAGTTTTTAAATAAGTGACAAAATATGCAGAGACAGGGGCAGAGGCAGACGTTTTGTATATATAAATATATATATACATCTGCTCTCTTCCTGTATATGTACACACACACCTTAAAATATACGAGATGAAAATGGCTAAAAAAGAGATATAAAATAGAATTCGATGACGCAAACTGTGACAGACATTACACATGGCCCAGAAGCAACCTCAAAGCGAAACGGAAGTGACCAGCCACAACTGTCCTTGTTTTGTTACCAACCCCCCAAACCCCGAAAATTAGCTTGATAAGAAATACCCAGCCTTGGCAACAAAAGAATCTCACAGTAGTATCAGTCTCCAGAGTTGATAATATATATATTTTAATAGGACTATCTATTCGCGGATTGCCTGACTCACTGCCAGAGATTCCCGATTTGCACAGATCGAACCAAACTTGGGAAGGTGCGGTAAACAAAGACCTTAACCAGAATGAGCCCAGACCACCGTTTGGTTTCAATTACGAAAATGGTCATTAAAATGTCTTAAGGCGGCAACAGGTTTCTTAGCCACACAGCTAACCATAAAAGGTTCATTCCATGGAGCTGCACTGTCTCAAAATAGGCAAGAGATACTCTTCTGTAAAAAAGAACTATGACTGGATCTTGAAATATTTAGCTTGTTAATATTGTAAAATGCCTTAATTCATCTGATTTCCTAGCACTTTTGGCTTTAATACTTATTATAACATCACGGAACTGGCCAATAAAATAGCTGTTGGTATTTCAAAGTGCCTTCCCGATAAGATATGCTCACGGAAGGGCATTTCAGGTTCTTTTTCCTTTCATTCAGTGGCAACATTTTGACTTGGCTAATTCCGAATGCGTGCCACATGTCGCGGCTCATTTGACAATCACTCATAACGGGCTTAACGGAGTTGTCGAAAAAAAAAGAGTTAAAAGTTAAAAACAAAAAACAATACAAGCAACCTGCTTGGCCTTTAGAGGAAGTGGGAATCGAAGTGGGAAACTTCCGACTGACTGAGTCGCCTTTAAAGCTACACAACAAGAAATGTAATTGGAAAATGATGGTATTTTTGAAAAAGGAAATTAAATAAATGTATTGTATGTTTTCTGGGAAGTAAAGATATGAAACATATATATTTCAGGCTTATAACATTTTAACTTGAAAATATATCTTTTATTTATTGAATTCAATCTTGAAATGAATATTTAACATAATTTAAGAACATTTAAATGATTTTTAAAGATAATACTGATAATATGTCGATACATCACTGGTTAAGATATTTTCTATATGTTACTGATATGATAATATTTAAAAACAAAAGTTTTATGTTAAACTTCTCCCTTTAAATGTACATTTTTATGTATAATAATTACCATTATTATGTTTCATCATTATATACTTTAAAATGTACCTTCGGAATATAAAAGTTTTTCCCCGTGCACCTATTTAAATGAACAATGACTGCAGCAGGTATTTGTATCTAATTATCTATCTCCCGAGCGTTGTGCGCAAAATTCAATTAGCCAACCTTGTTATCTCCTTCGGCCTTTAGTTTTTTTGTTTTTGGCCAGTTTCAGATAGGACTGGTTGGAATGGCCTCAAATATTTGGCCAGCATTTTGTTGGATCTCGGCAAATAGAGTAGAGATATTTTCCGCTTATCTATTTTGGCTGGCTATCTCCGCAGCTGCGTTGCGTATACGCACAGATGGCCGAGACGAGAGCAAGTCACTCTGACGACTGAGGAGGCGTGGGCGCTGTAATGATGAAAACTGTTACAAGGCTGCATTGTCAACGTGCCTTCGATGATGATGTTTCTTCCACCTCCGAGCATACATAGTTCCTGCCCCACGTCTTCGTTCTCTTTAATTGGTCGTTGAGAGGCCATTAACTGTGGCCCGGATAAGTGCCACAAATTGACCAGAGGCAAGAAGGCAGAATAAAGAATGAAATACACCATCGTTGTTAACCCAAATTCAGACAGATTGTGTGTGTGAATGTGTATAAGCATTTTGCCAAAGATAAGATCCGAAAGTGCCAACAGATTTAGAGGCCTTTTTCCACATTTTCCGACACCAAATGCATCAGAAGAAAATGCTGTCAAATGGTTTTCCTTCGGCCATTTGTTAATTCGCCAAGTTGAATGCTTGAATGAGTGAAGTCAAGTCGAGTTTAATGCTGCTGCCTGCCCACATTCCTAAAAACAATTGGAATTCGCAATGCTGCTATTGACCGACCTTGATCCCACACACAAGTCAAGTGATTTGCGAAATTTCGTCGAAAAATAGTTGCTTTAATGCATGTTTTGAATGCTCTTTATAAATATATTTAGGTGTTTTTACCAATACTTAATTAAAAGTTCAAATCTGTAACTGGAAGTCTTAATAAATGTTCACTTTCAATCATATTCAAAACTTCGTCCTCTTCATTAGCTTCAGCAAATTGATTTCCCTGCTTATATATACACCTAAAACCATATATTTATATGAATTTTATTACTAAACTCTTACTTTCTTACAGATTCTACAAAACTTGGGCAAAGTTGATCGCACTGCAGATGAAATCTTTGACGATCACTTGAACAACTTCAATCGGCAGCAGGCCAGTGCCAACAGATTACAAAAGGAGTTCAATAACTATATAAGATGTGTTCGTGGTAAGTCATCTAATTAGAGCTTTTAAAACCTATTTAAATGAATAATTATGATACGTTTCTACTCTAAAAATAGCTGCACAAACCGCCTCCAAGACACTGTTCGATGCCGTTTGCGAAATCTATGAGCCACAATGGAGCGGCTACGATGCCCTGCAGGCACAGACTGGCGCCTCGGAGAGCCTCTGGGCGGACTTTGCGCACAAATTGGGTGACCAAGTGCTCATCCCCCTCAACACATACACTGGACAGTTTCCTGAAATGAAGGTATCCTTAGCTTAGACTTTTTACAAAACCAAACAGAGAGCTTACAATTAATTTTCTTTTAGAAAAAAGTGGAGAAGCGCAATCGCAAGCTGATTGATTATGATGGCCAGCGTCACTCCTTCCAGAATCTGCAGGCCAATGCCAATAAACGCAAAGATGATGTCAAGGTAGGGTTGGGTAGTAAGCTATTTCCTTTTTATTTATTTAATGAGAGTGCATTTTATAACCTTAACAGCTAACCAAAGGACGTGAGCAACTGGAGGAGGCCAGACGCACCTACGAGATCCTGAACACGGAACTGCATGATGAGCTGCCCGCCTTATACGACTCAAGGATACTGTTTCTGGTCACAAACTTGCAAACACTATTTGCCACAGAACAGGTGTTCCACAACGAAACGGGCAAGGTGTGTGTTGAGATTTAGAGGGGTTTAAGTGAGGATTTAAGAGAGAAATTCAAGATGGGAGCTGGGTTTGTATGAGGCTTCAAGTCATGAGCCAGAAAGTAATAGTTTGTAAAGGATTTGCCTTCTTAGTTCCTTTATTGCAGTATTTCTGCAGAATGATGTCTAGGTTTAGCTTTTTATAAACCCAAAAACTAACACCTTGCCATGATTGTTTTCCCTTAAACAGATCTATTCGGAACTGGAGGCTATTGTCGACAAACTGGCCACAGAATCGCAGCGCGGCTCCAATACTCTACGCAAACAAACGAGTAAGTTTACCTAGCATACCTTCATTAAAGTATCTATAAATTAACTCTACAATCTCTCTCCCAAAACAGGCAATCCCATTAAGACATCGAGTCCCGTGGAGTCGCCGGTCAGCAAGCTAAATAATGCCAACATCAATAGCAACTATCAGAATCAAATCACCACCAATGGTGGCTCCAGTCTGGCAAACAGCCGTAAGTTCCCCCGAAAAGGGTTTCCATACCAACTCACCTGCAATTCTCAGTTTGAATCTCTCTCCATCTGGGGAACTCCCTCTGAGAACTATATAAGTATCCTCTGTTTATTTATCAAATTCTTTTGTTTCTTTGCTTTTCCTTGATTTTTCCTACGTTTCTACGTTTTTTTATATCGTTTATTTCTCCTAACGAACAAAACAAAAAATAATCATTATAAATTGCTCAAAACACTGTACAAACAAAATCAACGTACCCAAAAAAAAAATATAATTGTATATCCCATTAAAAACCAAAAATCCATTAAAGTTTAAAATATATATTTCTGAACTGATGATGTATTATACAACAAAAGAGCTAAATATTATACACAACATATAGATTATCTGTATAAACATATACTATATATATTATATATAATCTGCATATACTCTGCTGATGATAATGTTTTTGGCAATTTATAGGAAATTTTTTGCTTTTCTTTTCAACTAATTATGTTAACTATACGTTTTTGAGTTTGAACTAAAACTTGGCATTGCAAGAACATTCCATTTGTAGACAACAAACTAGTTTTGTAAATACGGTCTGGCGATCTGGGTTAGCTTTAAACTTATGTACTATATAAACACACACGTGTGGGATTCCCCTTTATTTATATGCCTTCGCTCCCTGACGAGTTTGGAAGCCCTGCAAATGAGGTTAACCCAGGTGGCCATCGACTGACAATGTGGACAATGGTCAAATGGAATGTTGCATGTTCTTTTGCTGCTTCCCCAAGAGTTCTGATTGAGTTTCCCTGCCCATCCACCCTATTGTCCTATTGCATGTCCTGAGTTTTATTTGATTTGTTTTCTCTCTTTTATTTATTTAATCTTTTGTTTTGGAATGATGCTCTCTAACCACAAATGTAAACAAACGAATGATATAACAACAAAACGAAAAACGAAAAAAAACTACATACATCACAACGTATAAAATACAAAATGAAAAATATATATACACACGCGAAACGAAATGAAATACGAAAACAAAAAACCTGCAACAATTAGCAACCTCCACAAGCTCGTCGCTGCAAGAGCCGAGATTTGATTCAGTTTCTTCAACACCAGAACCAACACCGGATTCCCCGCCAGCTTCCAGCAGGAGTCCCGCGGAGAATGGTGTGTCCGCAGCGAAGCCAATGGAGCGTCCCGACCTTAGTGGCCTCAATGCCAGTGCCACACAGGCGACCACAACCACACAGACCTCGCCCACGGCCGAGGAGAAGGAGAAGGAGAAGGAGGAGAAGGAGAAGGTCACTGGTACGGAGGCGGCAAAGCAGTTGGGAGCTGGCGATGCCGCTGGAGGAGCAGAAGCCACACCTGCAGCAGCAGCAGCAACGCCTCAGGTTAATGGGAACAACAATGAACCGCCGACGTCTACTCTGAATCCCAAGGAGGGCGGCAAGCAGCCCAAGGAACTGCCCAGCACCAACAGCAGCAATGCCGAGGCAGCTGCCGAAGCGGCGGCCAACAATGGCAACTCCATCGAGGAGCACAAGCAGAAGAAATTAGGTAATGACACCGACACAGACACGGCCACCACAGTCACCACCGTAGACACCATCAAGCACTTAGTTACATCAGCATCAGCAGATACAGATATCAAATCGAAATCGAAACCGAAATCCAAATCAGATTCAGATTCAGACACAGGCACAGGCACAAGTCAGACAAGTAGACCCATTCCTAGTAGGCACAGCGTAACTAATCCCAATAAGAATCCGTTCGAGGAAGATGACGAACGCATCTACGAGGTGCCCGCTGGTGAGTAAACCTCGAAACGAGTCGTCCACTGGGTCGTCGCTTCCCTCACTACCACTTCTCCTTCTACTGTACTGTATCTCTGTAGTCTTTCTCACTTTTGTTTCCGTGGAGCAAGTCTAATATCTGTGCACTATAAGCTTGACTTTAGTTTCCTGTGATTGTGAGGAGGGAGCACTCTCTCTGTGTATTGTGTATTGTGTAAGGCGATGATGTGTGTGAGCATCCATTCCGCCAGAGAGGAGGAGCCACATCTCATTTCTCCGGGCTGTGCACCTTTGCATCTCTATTTTCCATTTCGTACTCGTGTATCTCTAGTCTGGACGCACTTCATCTAGTCTTTAAATTGGGACAAGGGCAGTCCTTCCTTGGTGGCAGATGTCCTTCTAATTCTAATTCGAAAACCAAATCCAAATCCAACACGTAGGTTTTCGTATCGTACAAATACCTAATAATACAAATACTCATTAAAAACAAATTCATTGCCTGCACGTACGCTGCTTCAGTTCAGTTTATTTCTTCTTCTTTTTGGTTTATTTCCCTACAAAAAAGGAAACCTTAAAAACTCATCCCACTGAAAACTAACCATTCGACACAACAAAAAAATAAAAAGCCTGAGAAAGAGCTCGACGCATACTAACCCATTTCTGGCCAGGATTGCGTTGACGTTGTGTTCCTTTGCGTGCGTTTGTTTGTCTACTAAAACTCGGTTATGCAACTTTCGATGTACACTGTGTGTGTGTGTGACTCACTAGTCCATTTAGTTTGGTTAACTATCTAGCAGATCCCAAGATAAAGTATCTTTTTGTGTTTCTTCCTCGAAAACAGATGCCAATACCGCTGACTTGCCGGCCGGCGTTCTGTACCGTGTGAAGGCCACCTATGGCTATGTCAAGGAGGATGTGGATGAGCTGAGCTTCGAGATTGGAGACATTATTCGGGTGATCGAGTACGATGATCCCGAGGATCAGGTAAAGTGAATTGAGTAAGGCTGCTTTTGGGGTTTCATTGGTGCTCTTGTGAGTGAAATAACTTTATGATTAAATAATTAGATACTTTGTGGATCTCTCTTGTGGATCTCTGTAAGATTTCAAAACGAAAAAGATTACAGACAGAACTCTGTGCTCCTGTTTTGATATTGTTTCTTAGCAGCAACTCAATCTGTTCGATAAAACTTAATAGTAAGCCAAAATAATGCAATAAATCGTTAGTATTATATATATTTATTTTAAATTAATCACAACCTTACAAATATCTTAGAATAAATCTAATGTAAAAACAAGTAAAATAGTAAAAACCTTGCAAGAGCATCAGCATCCCATATCTTCGGTTGCATTCGAAGTTCCACAATTCCCCTTGAGCTTTGCACGCGCTAGTTCCCCCTCCGCGCCGTATTCAGATACCGGCACTTCCTGTCTTTATTGAGTGCAGTTCTTCATTACCCACTTGCAGGAGGAGGGCTGGCTGATGGGTCAGAAGGAGGGCACCACCGAGAAGGGCCTGTTCCCAGCCAATTTTACGCGTCCCATCTGAGAAGGTGAAGGAGGAGGCTTACCAAGGAGCCACCGAGCTAGCAACGAACCAGCAGCAACAGCAAAAGCAAAAGCAACAGCAACTTTAGTTAAACTATAAAACACACATCTTTTTAAAACGGAGATCCGATTTCCCCCTCCCCCCCCCCACAATCTTAAATGTTTGGCCAAAATTTTAATTTGTGAGCGCTGCCTTTACTCTTGTTCAATATTAATAAATTCTTGTTTTGTGAAATGTCTCCCTTGGATTAACGATCTTTCAAGCGATTGTAAGAGCAGTGCTTCCAACCATAAATTATAAATTATAAATTAAAATTAAATTATTGTTAACAAGAAAAGAAATCAAAACCAACGCGAGAATGCAGTAGAGAGCGAGGAGGGAATATTTTTTGAAGATGTTTCAAACATTATTTTTTAGTTCTAAGTTTCAACAACAACAAAAAACAACAAAATCTAAAGCATAAAACTACGTATACATATACATATATTATTTGTTAATCCTATTATTGTGCTCATAATTAATTAATGCGAACAAAACGTATCTAATTTGTAATTTGTTAAAAGGCAAATCACAAAGAAAAATGTAACGCATATCACTCGAAAGCCAGAGTAATTGTTAAACCAATCAAAAGTCGGAGGAGGAGTACCTTTTGTATGTGTATTTTGCGAATATGTAGTACGAGTTTTTTATAGTCAATTGAGTGTATTTTTGAGGCGATGCAAAAAAAAGGCCAGCTGAAATTCACTTTTGGACGTTTGGCGCTACCAAGTTGTCCTGTCCCTAAGTTTTATTTTTCGAAAATTTTGTTTTCATGTAACAACCCTAACGTGTAGCGATTATTTGTATTTTAATTTGTATTTTGTATTTTTGTTTTCTTAATTATCGTCCGAGAGACTCGAACTAGCCGCAGCTTTATAACACGAACAATCCAATCCAGTCACTAACCGATCGACTCGATGTTTTTATTTTTATTTAACTCTCGATTGTAAATCACACGAACCCGAAATAATTGTTTCAATTGTGCACACTGTAAAGTTATTATTTTAATTTTATTTAATTAATTTAAACACTTATTTATCGCATGAACATATTGAACAAAATGATAATAATTTACAGAGATGCAAATAAAACATAGATTAAATAAACTGAAGTGTTTTGCCATTTGACATTGTGGGGTTGTATAAGCATAATATTTATATTCTGCGGTAAGAATTAAACAAGAAATTCTTATATTTATCTGAAGTATTACTTTTATATGCTTTTAAAATTGGCGGTATTATTATTATTTTTTTTTAAATAATTCAAGACTGCACTGCTTGGAACCAACCGGAAAAAGCTAAATGGAAATTAGCGAGTTTTAAGCTATTTTCAAGCTAAAAAGTGGTGCCAATAAAATTATATGTTATTGGTAGCACTGTTTTGTTATTGTTATCAGAATCGATAACACGATAGAAGTAGTTATCGAAGAAGTCACGGTTATCAATGCGAAAGTCCATCGCTAGCGAGTTACAGCCAAAAAAAAACACCCCGCTCGTGCATCAACGTTAGAAAAATGCAAAATTAAATATGTTGTGAGTAGCGAAGAAAGCCAAATCGACTATGTTGTGAGTTGCGATCGAGTTTCCCGTTCCCCCGCGAACCCAACAGCCACCGGGCGCCGTCCCAGACCCGTTGGCAGGCCCCCCAAGAATTTTGCTCGCAGTCGAAATGCGCTGAAAAAAGCCGTGTTAAGTGCTCTTATTTGCTAAAATACGCGAAGGGACTTAGTGCGGACTAGCGGGGCGACGACGTGGTGATTAAACAATTGTTCGGCGCATCAAGATCCTGGCAAATTGCTTTTCTGCCACAATTTTTTCGTTTTTGGCCTCGCCCGTCGTCGTCGCTCTGTGTGTATTCGTAAAGCAGTGCGCCGCTCCAGGGAGTGCGAGCGAAACAGCCAATAGCGGGTGACAACACTGCAGTGCGCACTGCTTGCCGGAGGAAAACACCAGATACGGCGGATTGAAAAAAGTTTAATAATCGCTGCTAATCGCGAAAAGATATAGTTTTTCGATTCCACTCGTGTCCGGACAATGGATTAACCCTTGGGGCTTGATTGGGATACAGTGAGAAGTCCGGGTTTTCGCAAAGGCGAGGTGCCAGTACGTTCTGATTGGAAAATCGCGAAAAGAGCTAGTGCGTCGCGTTTGGGGCTATAGTTTTTCGATTCCAGTCGTGTCCGGACATTGGATTAACCCTTGGGGCTTGCTTGGGATACAGTGAGAAGTCCGGGCTTTCGCAAAGGCGAGGTGCCAGTACGTTCTGATTGGAAAAGGAGGGTGAATGGAAAGAGGGGAGGTGGGCGGTGACGTTGTGTGTTTACCTTAGCCGAGATACCGTTGATTCGAGATTCGAATTAGATTATGATTTTGCGGACTGCATGCACCGTTGTTTTTCCCTTTTAGATCTTACTTGCACTTGTTTTCTGCGACCCCAGCCACCCAGCCACCCCTCCTGCACTCCAGCTTATCATCACCCCGTATCTCTGTTTCTTTCTCTCTCTCTCCCACTTGCAGTTCCACTGCATACAGAAAAATAAACAAATACAAGAAGCATAAAGTATGCAGAAAATTAAATTCAAAAGGAGCCACTAAGTGTTTCGTGTGAAATCAATTTAGCGTCGTTCTCCGTGCTGCTCGTCGTCGTCGTCGTCGTACATACTCTTCTGTTACTGTTTCAATTACACTACAATGAATATTTGTTGAAACTGGCGTTGCATTTACAGACTGGTGTTTAAAAACAACAACAACAACAACAGCAAATTGACAACTATAAACAAACAACAGCAACAACAACAAACAGCCCTCACACAAAGCAAAAATATATCCACATATAAAAATAGTATCATAACGTAAGGTTAAGCCGCAACAAAGTCGAAAGGAAAGTTTTATATAAATTACAAACGCACCAGTAAAAGAAATAAATAACAAAAAATTAAAAACCAACTACACACGTTCCTTAAAACAAATGTTTTCCAAACCGCAAACCTAAACTAAACGAAATGCTTTTGAAATTAGTTTAAGCCAAACTAAACCAACAAACCGCAAAAAAACCGCGAAACGAAAAACAAAATAAAACAGAAAGCAGCAAATCGGCAGGGAATTAAAAAAAAAAAAAAAAAAAAACATCAACCAACGCACACGGATTAATCGAAGGATTATAGTCCTGGCAAATCTAACGAGTGGATAACGGAAACGCCTGGAGAATCTCGTCAGAATCATCCTGCCTCCGATAAATTAATGCGTGAGTATCTAAAACTGGGAATACAATTAATTAGGGTCTGGTTTCCTGCCTTGTGGTCAAGTCCCTGACTTAGTTACAGAAAATGGTAAAGTTTTAGGTAAAGTTGTCGTAATAGACATTCGGGTTTCCCCTAAGTCTATAAACTATTTGAACAAGAAGGAATGAAAAGTAGAAAATAAAGTTTTCTTAACAGGAAACTGTTCAATCAACAATGGAAATAAATCTTATACAAATTATTTAGGAACTCAACCCAATTTTTAAAATCTAAGTGTATATTGGTATTTATCTATTTATTTATTTATTTATTTATTTATCTGATATCCAAAAATCAAAATTAGGTTCATATTGGCTCAAATTTTAAGAACCCAAAAGAATTAAGATCTTAATTATTTGATTCAAAAAATGATTAACACAACCACTTGTTGCCTGCCTTTAAAAATACATATTCCATAAACAGTTTAAATAGCTGCTTTAGCAAGTCACTATTTCTATGCTATGGTGCCACAGAAATCTATAGTTTTGAAACCAAATTGATAATCAAATCAGTGTCTTAAAGTATTGTTCTATCTCACAATTTATTTACAAATTTCGGTTCTCTTAGGAGTTTACTATTTTGAATAACGTTTCGAGGCTTTATTTAAATTGAAACCAAATTGCATCCATCTTCTAAGGCAGCCCTAATCAAGACTCAAGTTAGGAGGCTGAAAAACCCTCTTTTCCTGCCGCCCCTGCAAATAAACTTTGATAACAGCTTCAGAACTGTTGAGCTCTGGAGCAATGTTCAGTGAACATAATTGAACATGAGTAATAAGCAACTGGCATTTCCGATCCAAGATCGCTTAAACCATATATTTAGAAAATCGTTGAGACCAAGGAGCCGGACGAACGAACGAACGAATGAACAAACGAACAGCTTGGAAGAACAGTAGCCGTCTCCAGATTAAGAAGACAAATCAAATGCTATCTCTGGAATGGTTTTATCATAAGCACATATGCACAGATAAGACGACTGTTGCGGATTCAAAGGCCCCTCCCCACCCTCCGACGCAGCAGCGATTCGGTGGCATGATATATCTGGCGAACTATTGTTAAAAACCGCTTCACTGCGCCAATTCTCCGTGCCCCTGCCCCTGAAATTTTTCCGGCTATTGCTAATTAGATTTCGTGGCTTTGCTCAGCGAGAGGCGAGAGACAAGAGCGTTTTCCCCCCTGATTCCAGCCCACTCACTAATCCCGGACCCATGACTTTGTCCAGATCTCCAGTGATTCCTCCTGTTCTCCCGCTCTTTGTCAAAAAATTTTATTTGGTATATATTCCATCGATATTTTGTAGTCTCCTCCGAACTACCGAGACCTTGCCTCCATGTCCATGTCACAGTATTCAGCCAACGAAATTGGATTAGCAAACACTCGATATGGGAACAGAGTGCACCAATAAAGAGAGGAAATAGCTATAGTTGGCGGTAGGCCACATATAGGCTTGCCCTATGCTGAACCCGTGAATGGATGACGTCTGTGAGTGGACCAAGGGAGCAGGGTACTCCTCTATAAACAAGAGGTTCTTTAAAAAAACTTAAAGATAAATTAGCATAATCATAAACTGCTAATAATTTGAATGAAACTTTAAGACGATCAATAGTTAACTAAGGGTTTAGTATTCCCAAAGACTTCCCTTTCGCAGAGCCACCCAAATTAGATTTCAATATCCAGCAGGGTCAGCCGCGCGAACCTAGTGCAAGCCCAATGTGAAGCCATATATTGACCAAAATCAGCTTTCTCGCAATGAACTTGGCCGGGGGAACGCTTCCTCAATCTGTTGCCACCTGCTGCAGGGCGATCGGCGGGGCAGGTGTGTGCTCCCAGTGTGTGCACTGCGCAGAGAGAGGCATTGAGAGACTGCAAGCCAGAACAAGAACGGAAGCGGTAGAAGAACCAGACTAGACCAGAGCCAAAGCCAATGCCATGGCCAGGGAAAAGCCAGGGGTAGCCGATGGGGAATCTATATCCGACGTCGTCATCGACGTCGCCAGCTCGGACCAGCGGGGCAGGCAAATATGAAATGTTAATTGCCAGCCCCAGACACAACGTGGCGAACTCTCGTTGAGCTAACAACTCTGGTGGTCCGTAGAGCCCATAGCTATCCAGTTCTTACTCGTCTTGGTTATGCAACACACAGTCCTAAATCAAAGTATTACTCTCTTTCACAGATGCCCTTGGATCGTGTTCGATGTGGTCTTGGTTCATTCGTATCCATCACTCTCAGCCGCCGAGTCACCGAAGTCTGGTCAAGGATCTAGCGTAAGCCGCAAATAGCAATAGCCAAAGAGAGCCGGAGGAGATCTGCAGTGGGAGCAAAGCGCCGAAGTACAAATGCATCAATCGAAACTAAAACTGAATCTGTAACTGAGAAACGGGTACCAAGCAACTAGCTCCCTTGGACACGGACACGGACACGGACACGAACACCTTGACGCAACACTAAAACATCAAGAGCAACAACAACCAATTAGATTAGACGACTGGAAGTCCAGTGGAGCTGAGAGGACAGCATCCCACCACCAACAGCACCATCCAAACATACATCTTCTACACGGAACGGCGGCGGGTCGAGCGTAGTGGCTGCAGCACGCGAAAGCGTCCATAAATCTAGTTAGCATGGAGTGCTGTTTATCGGAGGAGGCCAAGGAACAAAAGCGCATCAATACGGAAATCGAGAAGCAGTTGCGCCGAGACAAGAGAGATGCGCGTCGCGAGCTTAAACTGTTGCTGCTGGGTAAGTGTGTTCCCATTCCGATTGCACTTAACTTGGCCTAATGCAATTGACGACGGCGGCCCAGCAGTTACATTATATGTATATTATCTATATATCCGCAGGCACTGGCGAGTCCGGCAAGTCGACATTTATCAAACAGATGCGTATTATCCACGGCAGTGGCTACTCGGACGAGGACAAGCGCGGGTACATCAAGCTGGTCTTTCAGAACATATTCATGGCCATGCAGTCAATGATCAAGGCTATGGATATGCTGAAGATTTCCTATGGTCAGGGAGAGCATAGCGTAAGTTATATAGATCAATTAATATATATCATTAATCTAACGAATGCCTCTTATGCTTAGGAACTGGCCGATCTGGTGATGAGCATCGACTACGAAACAGTCACCACGTTCGAGGATCCATACTTGAATGCCATTAAAACGCTGTGGGACGATGCTGGCATCCAGGAGTGCTACGATCGTCGTAGGGAATATCAATTGACAGATTCAGCCAAATAGTGAGTTGAAGGAGGATTAATTTACACAAAACCTACTGCTTTGACAGAACTCTTGACTATTGACTCTTGACACCGACTCTATTTTACATCCTTTTTACTAAATCATTGATCTTATCTTCGAAAAACCTATAGTTATCTGAAGGATCTCGATCGTGTGGCTCAACCTGCATATTTACCCACTGAGCAAGACATTTTAAGAGTTCGTGTGCCGACAACAGGGATAATTGAGTATCCCTTTGATTTAGAAGAAATCAGATTTAGGTATATATATAGTTTTCCCCTCAATATTTCCATGATTGCATGTCTTCTGGTTTTAACATTTTGCTTTAATTCAATTCAAAACTAACGTCTTTTAGCGCAAGTCTACTGTTTTGTTGAGGAAATTAATTAGGATTTAGGGAATTCTAGGGACTGAGACGGATTGTAAGACAAATGTAGAATTGTTTTGTGGTTTTTGGTCTTTAAACATATATATTTTTAAATGTTTAATTTAGCTATTTGAGCGATATAGCGCGTATTGAGCAGGCCGATTACTTGCCCACTGAGCAGGATATTCTGCGTGCTCGTGTGCCCACAACTGGCATACTTGAGTATCCATTCGATTTGGATGGCATTGTGTTTAGGTATTGTTTTTATAATTTATCTTAAGCAATCCGAGGCTAGAGTTGTATGCTAAAGAAAGACGTACCTTGTGCTATGGGTTAAGTAACATAATATGTGGCTTGCGCTTTTGTCAATATACATCGCTTTTATAATGCTTTTTTGTAGCTTTAATGTTCATCTTGTTTTGATTTTTACTAATGTTAAATATTAATTCAACACACACACAGAATGGTGGACGTCGGCGGCCAGAGATCCGAGAGAAGAAAGTGGATTCATTGTTTTGAAAATGTGACATCAATTATATTTTTGGTAGCGCTATCGGAATACGATCAAATCTTGTTTGAATCTGATAATGAGGTGAGTCCATACATTGATATATTCATTCTTATTCCCTTTAAATAATTGACTTGTTTGCCTTTGCAGAATCGAATGGAAGAGTCTAAAGCTTTATTTAGGACGATAATTACCTATCCATGGTTCCAGAACTCGTCAGTTATTCTTTTCCTGAACAAGAAGGACTTGTTGGAGGAGAAAATTATGTATTCGCATTTGGTAGACTATTTCCCTGAATACGATGGTAAGTGTTTATTTGCAAATCCGAATAGCGATCAGAATTATGAACGATTTTATGCGGCGATATAAAACCAGGTCCCAAGCAGGATCACGCTGCGGCCAAACAGTTTGTTTTGAAAAAGTACTTGGCCTGCAATCCAGATCCAGAACGTCAATGCTATTCGCATTTCACAACGGCCACAGGTGGATGCAATTCGCCTATAAAGCTCTCTAAATTTGCTTTAAATAGCCTAAATTCATCTGTAGATTAATTGCTAGTACCTGTAGTTACACGCTAGATATAACATATCGTAAATTCTATATTCTGTAGGTCCACAGCGTGATGCAATAGCGGCCCGAGAATTCATACTGCGAATGTTTGTAGATTTAAATCCAGATTCTGAAAAGATTATCTATTCTCATTTCACCTGTGCTACCGGTAAGTACTTACCTTTCGATCGTGGTTTTCTTTCGGGGTGTGTGTGTGCGTGTGATTTTGATTTTCAGCTGCCAAAAAGTTCTCAAGTTCCCAATTAAACTGATAAAAGGTAATCTCTGTTGTTGAACATCATTTGCATTTGCCGCTGGTGTAGAGTATCGCTAGTTCAATACTTGTACTATATGTAATAGATTTCTAATTAAATAATAATCTATTGGAAAACAGATACCGAAAACATCAAACTTGTGTTCTGCGCTGTCAAAGATACAATTATGCAAAATGCACTTAAGGAATTCAATTTGGGCTAAGCTGGCAAGGATTTCGGGATAGATGATGACAAAGCAAATGAATAATTGATTTATAATGTATATGATTTTAAAAGTCCCCTAATAAAAATTCATAATTATCCTTTAATGAACTTTAGTGGAATGAAATGATATGGATAAGAATGTGTGCTGAACAAAGATTGCAGATAACAGTTGAGGGAACTAAGCTCTCTGCTGAAAGAGTCTATAAATGTTTATAACCTTCAACTGTTATTTGCGAATCATGCTCTTAAATTAATCATCTTAATTAAATCAAACTAATTCGCAACCTCTTCTCTCTCTTCCCATTTAGATACGGAAAACATAAGGTTTGTGTTTGCAGCTGTTAAGGACACAATTCTGCAATCGAACCTTAAGGAATACAATTTGGTCTAAACTGGATTTTGGATCGAAGAAACTATTTTTGTGATTTTTATACAAACACACACACACCACACACACATACACATTCATATAATTCCTTTTTCGCATATTTACTAAATATAAAAGAGAGAAGAATTGGAGTAGCGCGAGCGAATGTGGCCGAAAATTAGGCATTAATTACATAGATCCCGAGAAAGTTTCTTAAGTTTGTGTAACATCAGGAACCGAAAAAAAATTGTAGCATAAAAAGAAAATAGAATACGAAATACTAAAATGATGATAAACCCAGCAGCAGCGTCACTAAAAAAGAATTGAAAGAAATGATATAATGATGTGTATACATTTTAATTTTTCGAGAGAATGAAGGTTTAACGAGAGAATAATATAACAAAAGAAAATCTGATACAAGTACCGATGCAAGGTGACCGCAAGTAGCCCCAGGAGCCAAGTTAGTTTCTCGCTTTATACTACGAATATATTGAAGATCGTAGAAGGAATACCTTTTGTACTAAAACTTTGACAACGGACAGCTTTTTTTACTGAACAAATGCATTGTGATTTTAGCACTGTTTCGGCAGGGAAAACTCTTGTTAGAAAAGGGAATCGTTCGAGAGATGGCATGACGCGACGATGATTTCCCCAAAGAGTTTTGATAGAAAAGTACGCTAGGAAGGTGGTTGCTGTCACCCTGCATCGGTAATATTTAAACAAACTTGATTACTATAGAAACTTTTGTAAAAAAAAAAAACAAAACAAACCCGAAACAAAAATTAAGAAACGTAAATTTAATCAAAAGCTTGAAAAGGAACAACAAACTGAAACAACTTTGTCGTACTGAAGCATAATAAAGCTACATTTTACTAAAAAACAAATAACTACAGAAAGAAGGAAGAAAAAACAATTTTGCATAACAAAAGAATATAAAAAAAAACAAAACAAAACAAAACAAAAAGCTCCCCCGGTGTAGATATATATATTCAAAGAATTATATATATGCTAGAAGTTTCTCATTAGGATTTCAAGGCATAAAGGATAATACCAAGCAGAATCATAACTGAAGGGAAAACGATGGCACAGATAATGCTGTATTTTTGATTAAGCTAAAAACCGTAAATATTGAAACTATTGTTTACAGAAGTAATTAACTAAACACACATGCAAACGGATAACATATAAAGAGTGTCATAAGCATAATTAAAATGAATACATTTATTAATTTGTACCCTCCCCCGCCCAAAATCATTGTAAATTACGATTCGTATTAATGCCATGAGAGAACGGAGAAGTGAACACAAAGCCAGGGGAAATTTGTAAAAGTAACGCCATTTACATGGAGGAGGAGCATCCATTTTACTAATAACACTTGTTTTTTATTATTTGTTTTTATTTTTTGTAGCAGCAGAACATGCAACTTATTGATATTTAATCAGACATCAGGTCAAATCCAATCAATCTGGTCGAGAAAGAGAAACACAGCTATCGGAGGAGGGGAAAGAAAGTTGTTTTTTCGTTGCCATCAAAATTTTCAGTCGAAACAAGCACAAATTGTTATCAGATGTAGCCTTGATTTGTCGTACATTTTAAATTTAATAACTTTGTTAGTTGTTTTGCTTATTTTCTAGATCTATATAATATATATATGTACGCAACACTGGGCGCCCTTCTGTAGAGTAGTGTGATCCATGGAGCCTGCCTGCGTCCAGTGCGTCCAGTGTTTTGTTTTTGTTTTTATAATTTTAGTTTAATTTAATATTATATACAAGAATAACTAAATGAGACGCACATCTACTATACAGAGAATAAAAAACGAAAGAAACAAAACAACAAATTATTTATGTATAAATCCAAATAAAAAATAATTCTACTCTACAAAGCAAGCATATGTGGCAAGTAAAAAAGGAAAACGATACATAAAAAAACCAAGAAAAAAATATAAAACGTACATATATGTAAAATAAATATGAAGCAAAATGTTTTTCATAATTTATTACACTTGATTTTCGTTCAACCGAGATTCCCTCAATCAGCAGCAGCATTCAGCATTCAGCCAGTTTTGGAATTTAGTTTAGTCGGGCCAAAATTAATACGGCAAGGCAAGAGACGAGACTCTTAGCAGATGACAGAGACCCATGTGGAGTGAATCGAGGACAGAGTACAGAGAATCCTATAACCGCGCATAACCAAAAACCAAATGAAACCAAAACCATACCCATACGCATCTTAGTTTAAGTACGATTCAACAGTGTGTTGTATAAAGCTTTAATCCACGTAACCACATCTAGTAAAAATAAAGTAATTAAACCATTTTTATGATTAACCAACAATGGATTAGCTTTTAAAAAGCTTCAATAAGTCAATGTGTATTTTAAAAGATGATGAGAGATCAGAGAGCCATGAGTTTCGAGTTGATCGATCGGAATGGATACGGTACCGGGGGTCTATATAGGTTCTTTGAGGCGAATATTAATTCACAGTGCCCCATTTTGGTATATCCGATAGCCATTCTCAGACACACTTACACACACAGACATGACATGAATATATAGTTTTCCGTCCAAGTGAATTGCATCAGCATCAAGCGAGCAGACAAAGTCTCCCATTTATTTTGATCTTTTTCCATATAAAAAATTCGGCGGTTTCAATGAGGCGATATTTCCGTTTCCGGTTCCTTACATTTACAGTGACAGATTTGTTTATTCCTCTGGTCTTATTTCCTAGCATTAGGTGCCTTTCCACTAACCACAACAGCAGACTAGCTTCAGCCCCCCTTAAAGAGTTAATAACCAGTGGTATTGTGTGTGTATTGCCAGAATGTTGTGTTAAAGCCCAGTGAATCAAAGGGCATAGTTTAAAAGTGTAAGCAAATATTGTTTGAGATCTAAAAAAAATAATAAAAAAATATTAATTCTTGAAAGATCAAATACAGATCGCTTGCGAGCCTTTGATTATATCTTTGGTCATCAAAATTTAATATAACTGTCGGAAACAAGTTCAAAAATTGTTGAAAATTTCACATAAAGTAAAAAATATCGTATTTTCTTATTGCATTTGTTTATTTTTTACTAACGTCTTTTGATCCACTGGGAAAGTTGAATGGTGTATGGTTGGTTCCCTTGTTTTTTTTTATGGTACACACAGATAATACTTATGACAGTTGTATGTAAATATTTGGCAAACTTTTCTTGGGGGGAAATGATACCGATACCGCAACCAAAACCGAAGAAATACCCCCCCTAAAAGAAAGCGATCGAGCATTGAACTCAATAAGAAGCTATAATAGAACGAGAATTTGATATAAAAAAGAAAAATCATTAATGTATGTATTTTGTATTTTTATATACAATTTATAATTTTGATTACACTTACAATTGTTACGATTAATATAACTAAAATTAAATATGATGAGAGCCGATAAATACGGAAAAATTCTACTAGTTATGTATTTCCAATATAGAGCGAAAAGCAAGAACATAATACACATAATACAAATCCGATGATTGCTAAAGGAATTTCAAAAAATATTATAAGGAATTAAGATTAAAACGTAACAAAACAAAGAAAATTTTCTAAGTAAAAAACAAAACTCAACAAACAACAACCAGAACTGCAAGCAAAAGGGACAACAATTTAAATGGGAAATTTATGTGTATTTGTGTAAAAAAAAACAAACAAAAATCTAAATCGGATTGAAACGGAAGTTATGAAAATATATGTATGAACTTTAGGGCCTTGAGGGGCGCCACAGTTTTCAGCATATATACCCTATATATATATATTGAAGGCCATTTAGGCGTGGCATTCGATGGCTAGTTTTTACTTTAACTAATGTATGTACATGAAAGAATGACCACATTCCACATTAAGAAAGCTTGAAAAGCAAATAACTAAAGAACAAGAAACCAAAATATGAAGAAATCTCCCTTGAAAACTACATACAAGTTCTTACTAACAAAAAATAATATATATATAATAATAATAATATAATGAAAAGAAAGCAACTCCAACCCCTTAAGTAAAAAAGCAAAGAAGTAAGAGAGAATATTAGTTGTGAGTTCGGCATGTGGCATTTTTTGATCGGAGCGATCGATCGTTCGATATTAGGGAGAAATATTCGAGTCGTATTTCTACATTATACACCTAAGCATATATGTACGTGTAAATCGGAAGAAGCTAAAATGAAACATCCACTGGAACTGCATGCTTAGCCTAGGCTTAAGGCGAAACCACACACAGACCCCAAACGGAGACCTATGCAGGCGCAGGCAGTCCAACATTGTCCAAGGGCCGACGACGACGACTATTGATAAACGTGTAGCATTTGGAATAATTCGTTTCGTTCTTGCACGGACATTTTACGTGCTTGGCATATGGGGATGTTTGCGGTGTGTTGGGTGTGTCTATATATATATAAATATATATATATATATACATTTGTCATACAAATCATATTGAATGAGGCGACAGACGGACGGTGGGACGTTTGTATGATATGAAGTGGCAATTGTAACTAAACAAATTTTTTAGATAATTAAAAGTATCTATGTACACCTTAATATTAATGACAAAAACCAATATAATATTAAATAAAAGTATATTGAAAAGAATTGAAGCGAGTACTCGTATTTGGACGTTACAAAACTCTTTATTATTTACTTTCAAACTTATGCTTTAAACAAAACGTTTCACACTCCCTGCCCTCGTTCAGTACAAATTAACTATCACAATGAAATCATATTTCTGTCATGCTTTGCATTGGCGGCCATAGAACCTAATAAGTGGCAAACAAGCGAACGAAACTATCTCCTTCCCATACATTAGATTACCTAACTAAAAACAAGGGGACACATGGGTTTTGGCACTTGGGCTTCGCTTGTTTATATGACTACAAAGTCGCTGAGGTTACGTTCCGGCTGGACCATGGTCGGTGGCATCAGTTGCACCAGCTTATTGAATAGGAAAGCTCGCCTATTTTTCACCTCCGGGGTGCACTCTGTGCGCGCTCGTTTGGTGCATGACGACGAGGAGCTGGGACTAGATGCCGTTTCGGAAATTCCCGACGAGGCCAAACTTTCGTTTGATTCCAGTGAAATATTCTCGGGAATACCTGCTACTTCATCTACAAATCAAAGGAGGTTATCAAGGCTCTAGACAAGTAATTCACAGGACCAGCAAACCTTTCATCTTAGCTGAGACATCGGCATCCGTTTCGAGTTCTTCAGCATGTTCATCGCACAGGGCTGGGGTGGTGCACTCCCTTTCCAGGCTGTTGTCATGGCTTTTGAAGAGCAAGGAAGCTAGTTTGTGAAACTGAAAATCGGAATAGAAGTGATCAGAACATAGCTTGTGGTTAGAGCTAGCAGAAACCTACATTATTCAATTGCTCAGCATCGCTGTGATCGATGACAGCGGCTATGTGATGACGCAGATATTGCATTGCCTTAAGGGGATCCTGTCGCGTCATCTCCTCGTAGCGCAGCTTACGCACCAGAAATCGGCAATGCTTCAGGATCTCTTCGCGTTTGGGTCTGCAAATAATTAAACTTAAATTAAAGTTAAAAGTTCCTTCCTAGTGACTTACTTTTCCAAACGCAACACCCAGAAGTCATCCAATCGTAGCTGTTGCTGCTGGCAAATTCCGGGATTGCCACCAAACAGGTAATGAGTATTAGCCAGGTCATCGTACACCAACTGATGGGCAAAGCGTGGGCAGGGCTCCAAGGCACCTTCACCCTTGCTGGCCCCCAAAATGTTCATTCTACTAATAGAGTTGGCATCCTGACCACTGTGGCGACAATAGTATATTCTCGACCATTTGTGGGTGCGCAGGGAGTAGACCCAAAAGGCATTGGATGCGTCTATATGCGGTATATCCCGACGATCCTTAACCTTACTCAGACTCTGAAAATACACACTAAATATGTGACGAATGGATTACGTTTAGCTCGAGTTAAAGCTCACGGAAAATATATAAATCTCGTCGCGTTCACAGTCGATGGTGGCCCGTAGTGTGTACCCCGAGGAGGGCTCAAATTTGGCCTCGTTGCCAGCGGTGGTTCCATGATTGGGGTGCTCCTTGTTGAGTATAGATATGGCCTGGGTGTCCACGTCATAGCTAAGGAACTCGTCCAGATCCTCCTTGCCTCTTTGTCCACCATAAATGTAAAGTTTTCGATGTTTCTGATATGAAATTGAAATAAGTAAAGGTATCTAAGGGTATCCTTGATACCTACATTGTGAAATACCATGCAATGGGTGATCCGGGACTTAATGGACATTACATCGGCCAGCGAGGCACTGGCATGGTGACAATCTACCAGAATCTGCGACCAGGTATTCGTTGCTATGTGATAGGAGAACAGGCCGGAATACTCGGGCTCTATCGCTCCCGTGGCGTTGACACTGCGGGGCGTCAGTATTTTGCCACCGAATACATATATGGTGCGCTTATCGGCATCTATGCACATCTGGTGATCGTAAACCAACTGCGGGCCACCCACTTGGCTTGTGTCGTCGCATATTTGCATCCAATTGCGAGCTCTGGTGTCGTACAGATAAAAGTCGCTCTTGATGTAGTCCGCGGTTCGGATCGAGTTGTCCAGATAGCGACCCAACATAAAGACGTTTTCACTGATGGGATCAAAGACCATTTTGTGGCACGATCGCGGTGTGGGTCCATTGCCCAGCTCAGATCGCTCGCACACCAAAGACCAGTCATCATCATCGATGTTGTACACCCAAAGGTCACTGAGATCCTGATAGCCATCCCAGCCCCCGTACAGATATATCAGGCGCTTCTTGGCATCGACCACCAGTTGATGACCTCCGCGATTACCTGAAAGAGCTTGGACTTAGTCGGAGATTGATCATTTGATTCGAAGATTACCCACCAGGCTTGATCTCGCTTTCGGTGTGCTTTATATGCCAGCTATGCTTGTAGTCCTGCTTGTGCAGATACTCATCCATGAGGCCCTCATCAATGCACTCGGCTATGAAGCGCTCCGCCTTCTCGAAGTCTCCCTGCAACACCTGGAAGCGGAATATAGGAAGCTTAAGATCCATCTGTGTGACGAAAGCTACTAATTACCAGACACTTGTGCAGTTCACTTATCAGTGGGTGCTCCAGCTGCACATTTGTCTGCTCCTGGAGCGCCCCGAAAGCACTCATGTAGCCCTGCTGACGGAAATGCTTTAGGCAGAGCTTAATAATCTCCACCTCCCGCAGCGTATTGTAGCTCTTCATGCGCGCGCTGGTGTACATGGGATCGTCCTGGCCGTGCAGCTCGACGTACCAAATACTGAAGTTGAACGACGGGCCCCAGGAGAGCAGGGGCACGATCTTGAGGTACAGAATTGGCAGGTTCTCGGCGCCGTCTTCGGTGAGGTAGCGCAGGTTGAATACTTCGGGTACGTTGTCGTTCTTGAGGCCACTGCGGAAGAGTGCTCTTGAATGGATTGCCCTCGTTTCCAAGGCAAGCAACGCCACTTACCCTTCGAGCAGCAAGACCATATGCTCGTCCTCCAAGCCGCCGTATACGCGAAACTTCTTGATGTTGCAGACGTGCGACTTCTCGAACTTGCCAAACTTGATTTTCTTCACAATGGCGGGCCGGCGCAGCTTTAGAGTGAGGAACTGCGGCGGGCTGTTGGTGTAGGCGGACCAGCGGGACGTCTGATCATTTGGGCAGTCCACGAGAACGTTTCTGTGCGGAAATATACATATTATGATTATTTTTAAATGTGCGCAGTTGACAATTACGAAATCCGTGAAAATTTGGGCGCGCTTTCCCATATAACTTACTCGGGCAGATAATTCGGCGAGTAGCTGGAGTAACGGTAGATCTCAAAGTTCAGGCGCTCAGAGAGGGAGAATGGCTTCTGGGCACTCCCGCTTTGGGTGTTGGTATTCGTCCCAGACGCAGCATTCAGAGCTCCAAACGAGGAAAGCGCCACCGAGCCGTGGGAGCTGTTATCTGTGGGGCTGGACGTGGAAGAGGATGACATGGCTGCTGGGGGCGGCTGACTGTATATTCCAACGATCCTTCGGATTAACGGGGTGCAAATACTGCCGGCCAAAGAGCACTAATTGCTGTTGTTATTTCTCCTCCTTTGCGGTCTTCTTGTCTGCTTCCACACCCACAACAACACAAACGCAGCTGATGGAAGCGATAAATGCTTATCGGCAATCGATAATTTGCTTTTCAAACTAGCCATCCGTTAAATTGCGTCTGTTAATAAATAGAGTTATTAAAAGCTAGTTAGTGATTCTTGTTTCCGACAATTGCAAAATCGTTCCATTTGCTCCGAAAATGGGAAAGTGGAAGTATCTTGCTCTCTTGGGCATTTTTTTGTGCGGGGCCTTTACCATTGTAAGTTACTTGAAGCTTATTTTCGTTACTTTGTAATCACCCTTTCCGCAGACGGGTTCCAAGGCTTCCTTTTATAAAATCAGGAAAATAGAGTGCGTGTCAAATTCGGAACTCGTTGAGAACGTCTCATGTGTTGTTAAACCGATCAGCTGGACGAGATCGGTGTTGAACATGGAGGGCAATTTGAAGGATAACATCACTGAAGTTAAAGTAAGTAAGATTCGTTGGATTTGTTCCATATCTGTGTTCTTTTAGGATTTACAGGGGATAGTGGAAATCTTCTACAAGGATTCTTCTAATTTGTTTAAACCCTTTGGAGTCAAACTCAACTTTAATATTTGCAAAATCCTGGCAAGAACAAAACAGCGACATTTCCTGGAAGAATATGCTGTGCATCACCTAAGGACCCTTACAAATGTCAACCATAGCTGCCCAATATCGGTGAGGTCCCATTAAAGCCACCACGACTTTAAATAAGGCAAACATATGTATTTTTCTCAGGGTCATATTTATGCTCGGAACTTCTACTTTGATGAGTTGACGTTGCCTCCAATTCCACTGCAGGACTATAAAGTATCCTTTAACTTTTCATATTCCAAACCAGCTAGACATATTGGTTTGATATTGGTCTTTTTTGAAGTATTCGAGGATTATTATAAAAACAAAAGACCCAAGTCTCGACCAAGACCACAAGTTTTAAACTGACATGTATTTATTTATATAGTTGTTGTCTCTGCTGTATTACTTCTTATTATTAAACTGACTATAAACGTTAAAAGAAATATTAAAATCTCATTAGATTCGTGAATTGTTTTTTGAAATTTTTGTCAGTAGAAATATTTATCGATATTAATTCTATCGTTTAGAGGTTTGCGATTGAGATTTTTGTATGATGTGTTGTTTTGGTCACACTGCGCTTCCATTTTGTGTTTGTGGCTTGCATTTTGTATTTTTGCATCTTAAAAGTGATTCTCCTGGAGTAAATACAATTAACTATGTCCTTTGATGCGATACCCAAGGACCTTAGGGGTCTGCGCGCCTGCCTTGTCTGCTCACTCATAAAAGTAGGTTATGATGTACCGGTGATCCGGCAGTTTTTAATCTAGTTCGTTCCATACAGAGTTTCGATCAATTTGAGACTGATGGCTGCGAAAACTGCGAGGAGTTCCTGCGTATGAAGAACAACAAGGACAATGTATACGATCATACAAGCAACAATTTCGACGGCCTCATTGCCCTGACAACACCCACTGATTCCTGGGTGGCCAAGTGGCAGCGGATTGGTAATGCCCTCACGCATGAAATTCTCATTTCATTTATTGATGTAAAATCTGATATTTCACAGGCCGCTTCAACCGAGGAATATACGCCATTTCCGTATCTGGAACGCTGCCTCAATCGACGCTGCGAGATATGAAAAACCGTGGAATCGTCTACAAAACTCGCGACAGGAGCCAGCGCTAAACAAAAACTATCGATTGCCGTACAAAATACATGTGTAAATCTTTATTTTTAAGTTATAACAAAACCACAAATACATACAATAGCAATACAAAAGGGTAGAGGAGAAAGTGCATCAGTCATCCAGCGAACTAACGCGCAATCCCACGCCGCCGGCCGTCGTAACATGCACCCCAAAGCCCGCCGACTCTAGCTCCTCCTTGAGCTTCCAGTACACCTCGTTCTGCTCGTAGTTCTCTGGCAGCAGGACAATTACATAGCCACCGGCTCCGGCGCCAGTGAGCTTCGAAAAGAATCCTCGCTTGAAGGCAATGGTGAAGATCTGCTCAAGCTTCGGGTGGGACACCCCGATGGCTTTAAGCAAGTCGTTGTTGATCTGGAACAGCCGCTCCAGCTTCTCGAACTTGGCGCTGTCGTCCTGCGCGTTGCCGAAGCTCTCGTAGAGTGGAACTGCAGCAGTCACCAGCTCCTCGCAGGCCTGCCAAATCGCCTCGATCAGCTGCGGGAAGCCTTCGGCGAGGTGACGCACCTTGGCCACTATATCCGCCGTGCTGCGGCTGACACGACTGTCTACCAGTAGGATACTCAGCGGTTTCTGGATTTTCAGCGACTGAAAGCCTTGGCCCTTGACGTACCGCAGCATTCCACCGTAGGTGCACACGGTGTTGTCCAGTCCAGAGGGATTGCCATGATTAACGCGCTCCGACTCGAATGCCCACGTGGAGATTAGCGCTTGGTTTTCGTCCTGCAGATAGCTCTCCCGATCGAAGTGGCCTGCCAAAATAAGGAACGTCGTGGCCAAAGCGGCGCCAAACGAAGCCGAGCTACCCAGGCCGGCGCCCACGTTCAATCCGCTGTCTACCTGCACCTGGAAACCGGTTTGAAGCGTCATCTGTGGATCGGTGGGGGAGGAGAGTACGGCGCCGGCAAGCAGGTAATAGATGGAGACGAAGGCCCGCTGGGTGTGTTGCTTGGGGTTGCTGCCCACCGATCGCTCCAGCTGCTGGGCTACCTCCGCGCGCACCGCCTCCAGTAGCTTTGCATTGCTGTCTGCTGGGTTTTTGCTGCGGAAGTCGGCCAGGAAGGCATTGAACTCCGCCAACTGGATCTCCAGAGTGCAGTTCAGTGCCTCCAACTGGAAGCTGGCCACCTGGCTGCCCGCCTGCTGACGGAATTTTAAGGTGGTGCCCAATCCAACGACGGCGGCGAGGGCCGGACGCTGGTACACCACCGCATGTTCACCATGGAGGATAACCTTGCCCGGAGAGTGGACCTGGAACTTGAGCATTGTTCTGTGTGTTTTCAGTTCTGTGCGCTTGCTGCTAGCTTTATCGTTCTATCAGCTATTTGAAATTGTAATGCGGAGTGCGCACAAAACCAGCGGTTCGCTTCGACCTCAAGTGCTTAAACTTTTATTGTTTTTTTTATGTAACGTATGCATTTAACGGAGGATTTGCGTATATTATACAGTAACTTTAATGTAGCTCTAACGACTCCTGTGCTTTCCCTTTCACTTTCTTTGTTCGACTGTTTTCGGTTAGCGCTGGTTTTCGGTTTCGTCGTTCGATCACCACGACGCCAAAATCTCGACTACCAGCGAGCCACAACAGGTTACGACTTATTGTTGCATGTATTAGTGTTGTTGTGTGGTGCGTACTATTGCTGCTGCTCTTTCACTTTCTCCCACTCGTCGGGCGTGTAGGATTTTTGGGAAAATGCATGTATTTCTTTCAGTTCTTCGGCCAGCGTTGTGTTGACTAATCGGTGCTTCTGCAGCAGCGTCTTGCCGTTGAACGCCGCAGAGACGATGACCGCACTGAATTTGCCGCCGCAGCCGTCGGATTCGTCCACCACACTCACGTGCTGGGCGTCGAGTTGCGTTTTGAGCTTGTCCTCTAGGTATTTCGAGTTATATTTACTCATTTTGTATTATTTAAAAAGAAACAAGGCGACTGCGGAGGTAAAGTTACCAGGTTCTCTTTTGCGATTATCTAGAGCCGGTTGCCGTTTTACCGACACTGCAACCTGGTCACACTGCCAGTGCTGTCAGCCGGTATTTCATCGATTCATCGATAGTTAGTCTTTTGCCGCCACTGTTTCTTTCGTGCCGCAGCCAACTTCGCTTATTCATCGTACGCACATGCGATAGCACGCGCAGTTTTCCCACCATTCACTAACAAAACTCGATTGCAATTTACTATTTGTTTAAACAAAATTGGATTTGTTAGCTGCAATTTTCACGTTTTCATGTTGATTGAGGCGTGACTGACAATTTGGTGGAGCGATTTTCAGCGTAAATTGACGGTGGGAAGAGCGCAGCCCGTGACTTTTGCTGGTGAGGAATTGACGAAAAAAGTAAGTTCCACTTGAAAGACGAGACAGACGCCGGCATTGCAAAAATGTCCAAAGCAGATGCCGCCGCTGTGGAGGCCACCGAGGAGAACTCGGTAAGTAAAAGAAGACACTGTTTCGAATCGGTGCGCTAAATATGTCTCCGGCAATGCTTGCAGAATGAGACAACCTCGGATGCGGCCACCAGTTCGTCTGGCGAGAAAGAGGCCGAGTTCGACAACAAAATCGAGGCGGATCGCAGTCGACGCTTCGATTTCCTGCTGAAGCAGACGGAGATTTTCACGCATTTCATGACCAACAGTGCCAAGAGCCCCACCAAGCCCAAGGGCAGGCCCAAGAAGATCAAGGAGGAGAAGAAGGATAAGGATGTGGCCGAGTAAGTTATTATCCGTTGCGATGGCCTTGTTCCTACTTATTTGTTTTTTTTTTTCTGCACAGCCATCGTCACCGCAAAACGGAGCAGGAGGAGGATGAGGAGCTGCTGGCGGAGGACGCAGCGGCGACTAAGGAGCTTTTCCGCTTCGATGCCTCGCCCGCCTACATCAAGAGCGGTGAAATGCGTGACTATCAGATTCGCGGTCTCAACTGGATGATTTCGCTGTACGAAAATGGCATCAACGGAATTCTGGCCGACGAAATGGGTCTGGGAAAGACCCTACAGACCATCTCCCTGCTGGGTTATCTAAAGCACTTCAAGTGAGTTTTACAGAAAATTCCAAAAGAAAGTAGTTAAAATAGTGAAATATGTCTCCCGCAGAAACCAAGCTGGCCCGCATATCGTCATCGTGCCCAAGTCCACGCTGCAGAACTGGGTGAATGAGTTCAAGAAATGGTGTCCTTCCCTAAGAGCCGTTTGTCTGATCGGTGACCAGGACACTCGCAACACTTTTATACGCGACGTTCTCATGCCCGGCGAGTGGGATGTCTGCGTAACCTCCTATGAGATGTGCATTCGCGAGAAGTCTGTGTTCAAGAAGTTCAACTGGCGGTACTTGGTCATCGATGAGGCCCATCGTATCAAGAACGAGAAATCAAAGCTGTCGGAGATCCTGCGCGAGTTCAAGACGGCCAACCGACTTCTCATCACGGGTACTCCGCTGCAGAACAATCTCCACGAGCTATGGGCGCTCCTCAATTTCCTTCTGCCTGATGTATTCAACTCGTCGGAGGACTTTGACGAGTGGTTCAACACGAACACTTGCTTGGGCGACGATGCCCTGATAACGCGTTTGCATGCCGTGCTGAAGCCCTTCCTTCTGCGTCGTCTCAAGGCGGAGGTCGAGAAGCGTCTTAAGCCTAAGAAGGAAATGAAGATATTCGTGGGCCTGTCTAAGATGCAGCGCGACTGGTACACCAAGGTGCTGCTTAAGGACATCGACATTGTGAATGGCGCCGGCAAAGTCGAGAAGATGCGGCTGCAAAACATCCTCATGCAGCTACGAAAGTGCACAAACCATCCGTATCTATTTGATGGCGCCGAGCCGGGACCACCCTACACCACGGATACCCATTTGGTGTACAACTCCGGCAAGATGGCCATTCTGGACAAGCTGCTGCCCAAGCTACAGGAGCAGGGATCCCGAGTGCTGATCTTCTCGCAGATGACGCGCATGCTGGACATTCTTGAGGACTACTGTCACTGGCGTAACTACAACTACTGCCGTCTGGATGGTCAGACGCCGCACGAGGATCGTAACAGGCAGATCCAGGAGTACAACATGGACAACAGCACCAAGTTCATCTTCATGTTGTCCACTCGAGCTGGTGGTTTGGGTATTAACTTGGCCACCGCCGACGTTGTCATAATCTACGACTCGGACTGGAATCCCCAGATGGATCTGCAGGCTATGGATCGTGCTCATCGAATTGGTCAGAAGAAGCAGGTGCGCGTCTTCCGTTTGATTACCGAGAGTACAGTGGAGGAGAAGATCGTTGAGAGGGCTGAGGTGAAACTACGACTGGACAAGATGGTCATCCAGGGCGGCCGTTTGGTGGACAACCGCTCCAATCAACTGAACAAGGACGAGATGCTCAACATCATCCGATTTGGAGCCAACCAAGTGTTTAGCTCCAAGGAAACAGACATCACTGATGAGGACATCGATGTTATTTTGGAGCGCGGAGAGGCTAAGACCGCCGAGCAGAAGGCGCAGCTGGATAGCCTTGGCGAGAGCTCGCTGCGCACTTTCACCATGGACACTAACGGTGAGGCTGGCACTTCGTCCGTCTACCAATTCGAAGGCGAGGATTGGCGTGAAAAGCAGAAACTAAATGCTTTGGGTAACTGGATTGAGCCGCCAAAGCGAGAGCGAAAAGCCAACTATGCCGTGGATGCCTACTTCCGGGAGGCTCTGCGAGTATCCGAACCCAAGGCGCCCAAGGCTCCTCGCCCGCCCAAGCAGCCCATTGTGCAGGACTTCCAGTTCTTCCCGCCACGTCTCTTCGAGCTGCTTGATCAGGAGATCTACTACTTCCGCAAGACAGTGGGCTACAAGGTGCCGAAGAACACGGAATTGGGCTCTGAGGCAACAAAGGTTCAGCGAGAGGAGCAGCGCAAGATCGATGAGGCGGAGCCGCTCACTGAGGAGGAGATCCAGGAGAAGGAGAACCTGCTCTCGCACGGCTTTACCGCCTGGACCAAGCGCGATTTCAATCAGTTTATCAAGGCCAACGAGAAATATGGCCGCGATGACATCGACAACATTGCCAAGGATGTGGAGGGCAAGACACCGGAGGAGGTTATCGAATATAATGCCGTGTTCTGGGAGCGTTGCACGGAGCTCCAGGATATTGAGCGAATCATGGGACAAATTGAGCGTGGAGAGGGCAAGATACAGCGACGTTTGTCCATTAAGAAGGCATTGGATCAGAAGGTAAGCTATTATTAAGGTTACTCCTCTACTCGTTACTTACTGGCCATTCGTTTACCTATAGATGTCGCGTTACCGAGCTCCTTTCCATCAGCTGCGTCTGCAATATGGCAATAATAAGGGTAAGAATTATACAGAAATTGAGGATCGCTTTTTGGTCTGCATGCTGCACAAGCTGGGCTTCGATAAGGAGAACGTGTACGAGGAGCTAAGAGCAGCTATAAGGTAAGGTTATGCCTGTGTTTTACCAATATATGTACGTAAATAATTCTCCTTGTTCCTTGCAGAGCTTCACCGCAATTCCGTTTCGACTGGTTCATCAAATCTCGAACAGCTTTGGAACTCCAACGTCGCTGCAATACGCTGATCACACTCATCGAACGTGAGAACATCGAGCTGGAGGAGAAGGAGCGTGCCGAGAAAAAGAAGAAGACGCCAAAGGGTAGTGTTTCGGCGGGCAGTGGAAGTGGCGGTTCCAATACTCCAGCACCCACGCCGCAGCCAAAGGCCAATCAAAAGCGGAAGAGCGAGGTGGTGGCCACCAGTTCCAACTCAAAGAAGAAGAAGAAGTAAAGGGGCACTGGGAATAAGAAAAGGGTATGCACTTGAGATTCGGCTCCACTCATAATTAGGCAGTTAAATAGTTAAGACAAGCGATTACTTAAACATATTTCACTCGACATAGATATGTATTTAGCTTTTAACTCACACCGGAAGCAATTTCTTCTTTTAGCGCCCTCTAAAAAATATCCCAAAATGCACATCTTTCATCACACAAAAAAACCACAAACCATATACAACCAGTTTTAATTGTATTGCGTGCCGCTGTATTCTATTCCAATAATTGTACTATTGTTTTTAAGTCCTTATCTATTATATTTATGTATGGCAACTCAAGAAAATGAAGTTTTGTTTCCTGCTATTAGAGGGGCATGAATAAGATCCAACTTTCGAGTCACAGTCCTTATAATCTAACCTGGCGGGGTATTCTCTGAGTAAGGAAAAACATCTGATTATCTTTTCGCATGTTTGTCTTTATAGTTTTTGAATTGCTGAGCGACTTAACATAATAACATTTATAAATTCTATAAATTGCAGTTTAGTTTGTGTTACAACAAAGGCACTTAACATTAATATCATCTTGTTCATGCAGTCAACGGCTCCGGTATGTGGTGCAACCGAAGCCGCCTGGCCATGTTCAACATGGCTGAAGGTCGGTTGGGTCTGATGGGGATATGGGCTTTGCCTGCTTTTTGAACTCTCAAACTCATACTCTTAATACGCTTCCATCGTGGAATGCTACCTGCATCGGGAGTAATACTACGCGTCTGTCTGGAAGGACGGATCAAGAAAGGATCCCTTAATCCTCGCCGCTGTACATATCGATGATCTCATTGATGCTGGCCACGGCGCCGGCAATCAGAGCCAGGATGGAGAACACACCCAGGAAGATGTTCTTGATCAGCTTCCACTTGCACCAGCCGAGGCGATCGGGCCACAGGTACACAGTCTCCACAAAGCTAGGCACAAAGATGCCCAGCAGCGAGAAGAACACGGCACCCACCAGACTAATGAATGGTTCCAGATTGGGAATGGCTGCAGCCACTCCGCCGCTGATGAGGATGATGCCAGTGCGCAGCAGAATTTGTGTAATGTTGTGCTTCTCAGGACTGAACTTGTGGCTAATCTTGCGCCAGAGGATCTCGTTGGGCACATAGAACTGCAGGCCAAAGGTGAATAGAATAGCTACGGCCATCAGCAATTTGGCTGTGTCTCCCAGC